GAAGGATGAGGATGCTGCGATTTATACTCTCTGCATACACTGGTTTGAGCTACAGGTCAGTTGTTTGTTCATCAACATTTGCACTGGGTTGGGGGAAGGCTTTGTCAAGACCATGGGTCTTGGGTATTGGGGTCGTTGACACGGCTATGCTCAAGTCAATAATACACATTCACCCAGGAATTTATCTGCTCCCCACAATATGGAAATGCGTGTTGCCTAGTAAGCAGGTAAATATGTGCTTAAAATCATTACTCACCATGGAAATGCATATTTATGCCATAATTAGACACTACTATGTACCACCACAATGGCCAAAAATGAAAAACCAGCAAGCAAAAGGCATAGAAAACCAATACCAAGTATTGCCAAGGATATGGAGCAAGAGAATCCTTATGAACTCTTTGTGGAAATGTGGTATGATACCATATATGTACCCTATCACTCAGAAATTATACCCCTAGTCTCATGCTTAAGAGAATAAATGTTTACAACAACTTCATTTATAAATGCCCACAACTGGAAACAACCCGAAGGCTTTTAAATAAGAAAATGGATTAGAAGGTATAGTGTAGACATACAATGAGCCAGTGCAGAGCCACAAAAGAGAAAAAAAGGCTACACTCAAAACCGTAGATGAATCTTCATGACACTGCATTGATTGACAGAAGTTAGGCACATAGAGTACACATATGCTCCCATTTATATGAGTTTATATGATGGCTGTTTGTAGTGGTTCACAGCTTTAATCCCAGCACTTAGAGGCAAAGACAGGAGGATCTCAAAGTTCAATGCCAGTCTGGCCTATAAAGTGAGCTCCATGTAAACTATGGCTACATAGTGAGACTGTATCAAAAAAGTATTGATGATTAGAGAGGTAATTAGTTCTGAAGAGCCGGGACCCAGTATGCACAGAGGACTGAATTATGATAGGCAGGGTGTGTGAAGGGAATTCAGTGTGGTAGGAAGACAGCAAGAACTGGAGGAGGAGTGGGGGGAGAGGAGTCTGCAAAAGTGATATGTGGCCATTTTGTGAAAGGTTTTGTATTAGTCTTTGGTGCACATACACATCTCACATTCTCCTTTTTCTGGCTGTGTGGTAGGATGGTACCTCCTAACCTTCATAGTTGGGTAAGGACAAGTCTCCAAGCTTTGCTTCATCAATAATTGTAGAATGTGGCATGTGTCACTTCCAGGCATTATATTCAATTGTTGCTGTGTGATCTTTGTTGGTGGAGGGGATTGTCTTTCTTCCCCTTGGCACAACTGTTGATCTGTCTATCATCTATCTATCTATCTATCTATCTATCTATCTATCTATCTATCTATCTCTCAATATATCATCTGTCTATCATCTATCTATCTATTGACTTCCTATCTGTGATGGTGACTGCTCCATCTGCCTATATCTCTAGGCACTCCCTCTGGACCGAACACTTGTATGTAGTGTGAGAAATGAGTGAATTACCATGAACCTGATTATTTAGACAGTTGCAGGCTGTGGGTATGGTGTTGAGCTCATTCATTCAAGACACTGAGTGTCTGTTCTATACTCAGTAGCTGTTCTGAATGCTGGAGCTGATGCAGGCCCTTCTCTACTGACAGTAAGCAAATGAACAAGGTGGTTACAGATTGCCATGAGCATCATGAAGAGGATAACCAGGGGGATTGTATGTAAAGACATTGGGAAGTAGAGTGGAAATGGCCTGATATCAGGAGGCATTGCTTCTTTGGGACGGAGGCCCCGGGGCAGATAGAGCTGTGTCATGTACAGGGTCACAGGCATTGTGTCCCATGGGATGGCAAGAAAGTTCCTGCTGTGTCTGAGTCACAGAAGCAGGCTTTGTGGCTAGCAGATGGTGAGTGAGGAGGGAAGTAGGCAGGGATGCTACCGCACGAGTAAGATTGACAGGATGTGCATCAGGTATTCAAGGGCCAAAGGCTGCCATGGTGACTGAAGGAAAGAGCAAAGGTAGAATTCTGTTAACACTGAAAACATGTTGTGAATGTCCTGAGTAAACGAGCTGTTGCTGGCCCAAGCTGGATGACAGGGAAGGTGAACACAAATAATCTTGAAGTGTTTGGCAATTAGATTTTACGGGATTTGTGAATAGGTTGGAAGTGAGTGTGGTGGCTGAGTAATAGACTAAGAGATGTTCACTGCTTACTTTCCAGAATGGGTTAATGTTACCTTATTTATCAAAGAGAACATGGCACAACCAGCCCGGGAGAGGCACCACCCTCAGTTAGCTGGGCCCGCCCCATGAATCATTAATCAAGAAAATGCACTCTAGACCTGTCTGCTGGCAAATCTTACAGAGGCATTTTCTCAGCTTAGTCATTTTCTCTTCCCAAATGACTCTAGATTGTGTTACATTGGCATAAAACTAACCAACGCAACACTTAAAGCACTTCCATCAATTCCAACACACTCTGTATCCACTAAATGATAGTTCCCACTGCTCCCTCTACGCAGCTCCTGATAACTTCTACTGTATTTTCTTTTCCTTCATTTGCCTATTTTTAAAGTACTTCATGCAAATGGAACCATATACACTTGTCCTTTGTTCCTGAATTATTTTATTAAACACAATTTTTCAAGGCCCACCTACATTATAGTGTATATTAAAATTTCATTCCTTTTGTGAGTGGATAGCATTGTTTGTTATTTTAAGCAGCGGAATTTGTGCAATTTGTTACAGTTGCCATGGGAAACTAATTGATACAATGAGGGAAAAGATGTCAAGGTGACTCCTTGGTGTTTGGCAGAGAATTGGATGGATCTAGACAGGAATCTATAAACACAGCAGATTAGGGGTAGGCTCCATTCTGGGCCATGTTGTATTTGAGATGGCTGTTCTGCCTTCAAAGGACATGCTGAGGAGGCAGTTGGCCGTATAACTCTGGAATTCTCCCTAGTGCTGGGGAGTTGCATTTGGGAGGCATGAGTAGATAGATGATTCTTAAGGAAAATTGATGGGCTGTGCTCACCCAAGGAATGTGTGTACAAAGAGAACAGGAAAAGGTCAAGCCAGCATTGAAAGCAGAGTAAGCCAGAACAGCTGGGAAGGAGAAGTTAAGGGAGGTAGCAGAAAACTCAGGGAAACCTGGCTCAGGAAATTGAGAACCCTTTTATCTAGAAAAGCGTGGCCAGTCAGATTTTGAGCAAATAGAAGGCCAGAAGAGAGTGTTGGATTCCCTGGGACTGGAGTTACAGATGGTTGTGAACTGCAGTGTGGGTGGTGGGAATTGAACCCGGGTCCTTTAGAAGAACAGCCAATGCTCTTAACCACTGATCCAATTCCCCAGCCCCACTGGGGCAAGTTCTGCTGTTGAGATGCAAAAGGAGATGAGACAACATACAGTTTTGAAACCCTTTGAGGCAGAAGATACTATGGTTAGTTCTAGCTAAACAAGACCCCAAGCCTTAATAGCTTTAAACAAGTCCTTGCAGTCTGTGCCATGATTTTCTGGTTAAGAATTTGGTCAGAGGTTGGCTATGTGGCTCATTTACTTCAGCTAGTGTTGGCTAGTCATCGATAGGTAAGAATTGGCTTTGAGTGGGTGGTATTTGAGAACTTGGGTGACTTCACTCAATGGTTGGTACTGTTCTGAGGATGGCTAGAAGATACTGTTCTATTGGGTCATTTCACCAGACTAGGGCTCCTTAGGAGAATGTTCAGCCAATTAGACATGGCACATGATCTGTTGTCATCTGTGCCTGGAAGTTGCATAGTATTACTTCTGCTGTGTTCGGTGGTCAGTCCAACCACAAGCCTACCCTGATCTAGTAGGAGAAGATATAGATCCCACCTCTTCATGGGAACACTGATAATAATTATAGTGATGATAACACCCCCACCAAGGCAGAATACATTTACAGGCTGCATGGGAACGTGCCAGGAAACTGGGAAAAATAATTCATACTTAGGAGAGAAGAGGTTGCAGGGGCGGATTCCTCCAAGAAACCTTAAGGGGACACTTAGAAGGCTGGAGATGGGGGACTCTTATCACTGAGACAGGAGGGAAGAAAGTCATAGAGAGGGCAGACACAGTGACAGGACGATGTCACCCTAATCAACAATGTATGATGAATACGCCGGCCGAGGTGGACTGATGAGAGCTGAGAAGAGAAGAAGGCATAGCATGGAAGCTGGGACACCAGATTTTTTTAAAAGCAGATTTTAATAGGGATGGCATTCTATCATTACTGAAAAATAACATCAATTAGAAATAGATGATTACGAATCCTCACTAATGTATTAGCAGTCCTGCAACTTTACTGCTAATTATTGGCTTTGTAAAATATTTAAGAAACCTGTGAGAGATGGTCCATATTCTAGGAGTTGCTAGTTAGTTTTTGTCAAGTTGACACAAATGAGAGTCGCCTGGGAAGAGGGACCCTAAACTGAGGAATTGACTCCCTTAGATTGGCCTGTGCTATACAGACACAAACGGATACACACCTGCAAATGAATTTTTGAAAAAATTTAAAATCCTTTAAAAATTGTTTATGCTTATTTTATATGTATGGGAATTTTGCCTGTATGTATGTATGTATGTATGTATGTATGTATGTATGTATGTGTATCACAGCCACGCATGTGTGACTGACATATATGGAGGTTAGAAGACGGTGTCAGATCTCCTGGAACTGGGATTACAGATGGTTGTGAATCAGCATGTGGGTGCTGGGAAACAAATCCAGGTCTTCACAGCGTCAAATGCTCTTAACCACTGAGCCATCTCTGGCCATAATAAAAATTCTTTTTAAAAATGTCTTGCAAGCCGGGTGTTGTTGGTGCACGCCTTTAATCCCAGCACTGGGGAGGCAGAGACAGGCAGATCTCTGTGAGTTTGAGGCCAGCCTGGTCTACAGAGTGAGTGCCAGGATAGGCTCCAAAGCTACACAGAGAAACCCTGTCTTGAAAAACCAAAAATAAGTAAGTAAATAAATAAATAGATAAATAAATGTTTGGCAATTCTTTTTTAAAAAGTCTGGCATCACTTCTTAGCCTTTTGGATAAGATCAAGTGTAGTATCTGTTCTTATCAGTTTAAAAAATGTGGCAAGAATTAGTCCTCAGAAATGTACTTTATAGGTAATGACCTTTTGCAAATGATACAAAACCACTTTTGCAATTCTTTTTTATTGCATGTATTTATGTGAGGTGGAGAGTAGGGCAGTATGGTATGTATATGAAAATCAGAGGGTAAATTTTAGGGCTCAGCCTCAGGTCATCAGACTTAGTGACAAACACCCCCACCTACTGAGCCATCCTGCTGACTTACATATTTATAAATGTTGCTCTGAAATTTCTTTCAGGAGTTTCACACACACACACACACACACACACACACACACACACACACACACCCCAATCATCAGAATTTTTTTTTTAAATCACTCATTAAAATTACTTTACCATAATCGCATTACTCACCTTTGTCTTGGGTATTTCCAAGGGCCGAGTTGTCTGAAGAATAATGCAATTTTGTTGATGATGAGGACATTCTAATCTAGATAGGACCTTGCTGAGGATTTCCAAGGGGGAAATTCCAAGTATGTTTTGGACAGCACCAGTGTAAAAGATCGCAGGGTTCATAGCATCACATAGACATGACTGGTCTCTTATCTCCACACCAGCAACACACTGACTGTATATGGTATTCTTCATGGTTGTGTGCTGGGTTTCCATCTGCTCAGCTCACCGAGCTCGACATTTTAGGCTCAAGCTTGACTCTGTTCCCCTCATTGCGAAAATTCAGTGTTAGAACAATCAGGAATGTGTTCAGATGTAGGTTCAAGAAAACCTACTTAATAATGGCAGAAATTCATTGCTGTGTAATGAAGCCCCTAGAAATAGCCTCTGTCCCCTTTCCGTCAAAACTGACAGAATTGAATAGTATCACTAATGGACAAGCAGGTGCAAGCTATTATTTTTCCTTCAGCTGCTCCATGTTACCACACAGGTTTTCTGTGTGAGAGGTGTGTTATCTCAGTGTGTTCATCTCTTTTTTTGTGCTTATTGACTTCTGGCAGCAGGATGACTGCAGGGCCTCCAAGTATTGTATCCACATTCCAGACAGGATGACCTAGAAAGGTAAAATGTAAAGAAGCGGCATTGCCTTTTCATCAAGATAATAGATGGTCACAGGAATCTCCACTGCATACTCAGGGCCTCACAGGTCAGAACTAGGTCACATGTATACCCTTATCTGCAAAGGAAGATGAAGGGGGGAGGGGTAGGATCGTCGTGGTTGGTGCAGAGCAGTAACATCCACTACCGGGGCTGCACACATTGACTCCATCAAAGGCCAAGTTGGGAGGAAGAAAGGAAAATGGTTTTTGCTCATAGACAATAAATAGTCTTGCCCACAATAGCAAAGTCCATTTGGCGCCGAGATGGCTTGCCACCATCCTCCCGCTCCACCTACTGGCTTAGCTCCGGCCTGCCCCTGCACCTTCCAGTGTGGCCCGCCTTCCATTGCTCCACTGTCAGCTGTCACACTTGTATTTCTGCGCTCCAAGCTGACCATGGGCCATCATGGAGAAGAGCATTGCCTAGTTTTCTCCAGGGATAATGTCTGCCAAGCGACTGAATTCCTGCCCCTCTCTCTACTTGGCAAATCTTTTGTTGACCTTCAAGGCTGATCTAAATGTTCGCCTTGAGAAATTTTCCCTGACAGTAGTGTCACAAACTACCCTTCTTGGTTTCACACGCTTTTTATTTATTGTGTTAGTGCATATTAGACTAAGTTGCAAAGTCTTTGCCCTGGCATCTGTCTCACTTGTTTCTGCACCTTGTGTAACCTGAGCAGTTAGCACAGTTCCTGGCCCACCCATTGCACAAAGAAGAGGTGGTTGTTTGTCTCCCACTATCCACTCTCACCATGGTTATCAGTAAGATAACCTTGACTTCCAGTTGAGTCTGCGGCCACTTTGATTGGAGAACAAATACTTCAAACTCCCTTGAGGAGAGCTAAGGTCATGTGACATTCCCAGAGCTATAGCTGCCGGACTAAGTGATGACTTTTGCACTTCAAGCTGGATATGGAGGAGTGAAAGATGCAAGTGTGTGGACTCCTGACTTGTACAATGATTTGTAGTCTAAGTCTAGCCTTGCCTATCTGATGAGGCTTAGGGGGAAGAAAGGAAAATTTCCCAAAGTAGGGATTTGTTGTAGAATATTAGTTTAAGGTATGTTACATTCATTCATGCGGTGGAATATTTGTTTAAGGAAGCAAAGATGTGTTGCATTCTTTTATGCTGCATTTGTTTGACTCTGTAAAGCTGTGTTACTTTACCTGCCTAAAACACCTGATTGGTCTAATAAAGAGCTGAACAGTCAATAGCTAGGCAGGAGAGGGATAGGTGGGGCTGGCAGGTAAAGAGAAAAAAAAATAGGAAGAGAAATTTAGGTTGAGAGAAGAAAAGGGTGGAGTAAGAAAGGAGAAGAAGAAGACACTAGGGGCCAATCACACAGCCAGCCATGAAGTAAGAAGGAAAGGAAGATACATTGAATAATGAAAGGTAAAAAGCCCAGAGGCAAAGGTAGTTAAAGAGAAACAGGATAATTTAAGTTAGAAAAGTTGGCTAGAAATAAGCCAAGCTAAGGGCAGGCATTCGTAAGAATAAGTCTCTGTGTATTTATTTGGGAGCTGGGTGGCAAGCCCCTACAGAATTAAAACAAACACACAAACAAACAACTATAGGGATTCAACAGAGAAAATTTTCTGATAGCAAAAAATACATAAGTATTCTTTAAAATAAATTGATTTAGAGCAGACATGGTGTTGAGTGCTGGTTACCCCAGTACTCAGGAGGCTCAGGCAAGGAGGATCTTGAGTTTGAGGCCAACTTTGGTTCAATAGTAAGAGTCTGAAAACAGAAAAAGGGAAGGGAGGGAA